CATGAAATTTGTATTGATGTATATATCAGGCTAATGTAAAAAGTACAGGGAATCAAATATTTTTAAAAAAAATTCTGTAAAATATAGCAATCTAGACAGAAATTCCGTTGAGGAAGTTATTAGACAGGAACTTCCATCTAGGTCACTATAAAAGCAACCTAGATGGAGCTCTCATCTAGGTTTCAACCTAGACGGAAAATCCGTCTAGAAAGCAACCTAGATGAATTTTCCGTCTATAAAACAGCCTAGACAGAAATTCCGTCTAGGTTGCTACCTACATGGAATTTCCATCTAGGTTGCTTCCTATTTTGTCTAAGTTGACTTTCGTCTGGTTAGATCAACCTAGATATATATGAAATTCCGTCTAGATTGAGTCAACCTAGACGGAATTATCATTGACGGACTTTTTTGGACGGATTTCTGTCTAGGTTGGTCTATCTAGACTGGACTCTCGTGAACCTAGATGATTTTTTCCATCTAGGTTGAGTGTTTTTATACTAATGAATTTATCATGCGACCGCTTAAATAAATTTATTATTTCCTATACCTGAGATTTTTTTTATCTAAAGTGTTATATCGGTCGTTTAGGACATGTAATTGGGCAACTTAATTTCAACGTGCAAGATGATCATGTACTTGAAAATCTAATTCACGCATCTAGATTCTTAGTCCCAAAATGGGCGAAAATAATGTTGAATGTTTTTGGGGGTTTTCTGAAAACAATGTCTTTTGTTACCTCATCTGCACTCTTGTAGTACACGGGTATTATATATCATAGACTGAATAATCTTGACAATGGTTTGGTTCATACGCACATAAACTCCAGCTTTCAAAGCTTATCCATGAGGCTGTAAGGTTCGCATGTAAACCTAGAAAAGAGGTTTCCAAAAAATGTCACATCAATCTAAGAAATGCATATTTTCTTTTCTGTGGTTTGATTAGCAGCAAAAAGAGAGAACTCTCTCTTTAAAGTTGACAAAAAAGTGTATGAAATGGGAAAACTCATTTTTAAGTTTTTATTAAGGAAATGAACTATAAATCTAACAAAAATGTCACATCAATTTAACTTTTCCACTTTTCCAGGAAATCAACCAAACAGCCCGTAATTGAATATTGGTCGTGGTCTTATACAGTCAATTATCATATACACAAATAAAAAAATGATGGAGAAAAATCCCGATCTACGTACGTAAGAAGAAACTAATTAAAGAAATCTACTTAATTTTTTCTCGTATTATTGTGACCAATGAAAAGGAGGAAAGATAGACTAGTAATAGATGAATCCACACAGCAATTTCCACATGTCATATTACCTTCCTCATGAGTACAAATCTTATCAGAATATTTTGATTTGCACATTGGCAATTCTAAACCATACAAATGGGAAAATGGGGAAGGAGGATGATAAGATTTGTCATCCTTGGTTCGTATTATTACTAGTCCCATGTAGTTGCATAGGAAAAATCAGTGGTAGAAACAAGGATAATAGAAGACAGAGACAAAAGCAATAATGGCACGATGGCAGTCTTCATGAATTGGAGCTTGGCATGCACGGTTAGTGATCTAGACTTAAGAAGTGAGAATAGGACATTTTGGATTTTATCCAACCATTATTTGTGGGCTAAATACCCATACTGGTATTTTAATTCCACCCCATTTACTAAGAAGGTATTTTAATTAGACAAATCTGCTTTAAGGCATTTTAATTGATTTAACTTACCAATAAGGTCCTTTTTCTCATCGGCGACCAGTTTCCCGGCGAGAGTTCTTCACGTGCGTGGCACGTGATGACTTAAACTGTTTTTTAACTGCTGATGTGGCATAGATTTTCGACGTGACAATGTTTAAAGGCGGAAATTAACCCTCTAAAATTCCCAATTCACCCAAAATAGGACAAATTCACCCTTTTTATTTTCAGAATTTGAACGCAAACCCTCCTCTTGAACAACATCATCCTCCTTTTCTCCAATTGAAGCAAAGCCCTCTAGTCTGAATCTCACATCTGTCAATTTTGATATTTCTTCCATAGAGCAAGCGTTCTCATTGCATAAATCCGTGCCACATCAGCAGCTATAAAACAGTTTAAGTCATCACGTGCCACGCACGTGAAGAGCTCTCGCCGGAAAACTGGTCGCCGACGAGAAAAAGTGCCTTGTTGGTAAGTTGAATAAATTAAAATGCCTTAAAACATGTTTGCCTAATTAAAATACCTTCTTGGTAAATGAGGTGGAATTAAAATATCAATATAGGTATTTAGCCATTATTTGTGTGACCATGCATGATGCATGGTGCTAAATATTTACCCAAACGCGCTATTCTTATACAGAAGCCATCTAAGGCTACGTATACACCGTGACTGATAATGGCAAGCAGATCAGACTGGTTCTACAAATTTTAGTTTTTATTAAGGCTACGTATACACCGTGCTAAATATTTACCCAAACGCGCTATTTGCATAGAAGCTTATGTTTCAATATGACTGGCAGAATGATCCTCATCACTTATTTATTTCTTGAAAACTTATTTAGGATGCGTTTGATAGGTTGCGACTGAAGGGGTTGTGACTGCAATTGCGTCCAAGTAGATCTTTTTTTTTCCAGTCACTAGTATTTGTTTCATTGCAACCACAGTTGCAAATTGCCCATAAGTTGCAGTTTTCGACTTACGCCATTCTGGGCGAAAGTCACACTTACAACTTTTCTGTAAATCACCCAAATTAATAAAAAAATTAAAATACCAATATTATTACTTAAAATTTCATAACATCTAAGAACTTCGTTAAAGGTTTGAAATAACTTTATAAAAATTATATTAAGAATGAATTTTTTAAAATATAAATTTCAAAAAAATATTTATTAGAAACTTTATTTTTAGCAAAAATTTTAGTTTGAAAATATTATTTTTATATAAAAATATTTGTTTGTTCTTAAAATAACTTTTTCGTGAAATATTTGTTAGGATATGTGAGAAGCCTAATTATCAGATTTGCCCTATACTCCAGATTGAGGAGGAAACAAGAGAAGTTGAAGAAACAGGATCGACGACGATGAAGTTCAAGCAAAACGACGAAGTATGTAGTTTGACTAGATCGCGGTCGATCGCGCATGGCGCGGCGGTCGACCGCATACGTGCACAGCTGGGTGCACAACTCAGGAGTTCACCGCGGTCGACCGTGCATGCGCGGCGGTCGACCACCAAAATCCGAGAGCAAACTCAGTTACAATTCATCTTCGCCGTCGACCGTTCGCGCCAAAAGTCCAGAGAGCAACGCATCAGCTGCAGGCCTCGTCGCGGTCGACCGCGACCGTCAAAAGTCCAGAGACTTTCCTGGATTTCGAGCAGCTGCGCGGTTCGACCGCGCGTGGGTTGTGGCGGTCGACTGCGAGTCGCCGGCGTTTTTGCCAGCTTGTTTTTGATCTGTTTCCTATTCCTGTTTGTAATACTCTTATATCTATAAAAGAGTTGATTAGGGCATTATGTATAGTGACAAAAATAGTAAAATTTTCTTCTGAGGTGGCCGTGGACGTAGTTTCTCAATTGAGGAACGAACCACGTAAATCTTTTGTGTTTGTGAACCACGTAAATCTTTTGTGTTTGTGATTGTGATTGTTCTCTTTCTCTCTCATCTCTATTTCCAAATCGCATCAGGGGGTTGTTCATCCCAAACAATATTTTTTTATTATCAAATTTTGAAAAAAAGAAATAATTATTTTTAGAAAGACATTATTTTTCTAGGAATAATTTTTTAGAAAACTATGTTTTAAAATCATATTTTAAAAAAACTATTTTAAAGTCATTTTTTAAAAATTATTGGTTTTTTTAAAAAAAACTATTTCTAGTAAAAATATTATTCTTCAAAAAATACTATTTTAAATATTTCTCAACAAAATATTTATTTTTTAATTATATTTTTTAAACAATTTTATTTTAGAAAAGTTTGAAAAAGAAAAATATTATTTTTTAAAAGAATATTGTAATTATATGAAATTAACTAATAATTATTTTTTTCAAAAGTGAAAAATGAGTTGCATATGAAAAGTTACAAGCAATGCCATACAGCTGCAACTTCAAGTTGAAAAGTTTAATCTAGTTCATGATTGCCAAGAACTAGCAGGTCGTGATCGGAGATGTCGATTCATCACAGTATATGAGGAAAATATTTGTGCCGATGGTCTCGCCTCGTTGGGTTTCACTGTGTATTGTCTTCATCAACCTGTGCAGCATCCACCTAATTGTATTATTAGCTTTCTTCAGGATAATGCTTTGGGTGCTTATTGACTGAGAGGTCTGGTGTTGTAGCTGTTTTCTTTTATTTTCCCTTTTATCAAAAAAAATTGTTTACAATTGTCTTGTCTTTATCTAACCAAATAGTCTAATATTATTATTAGTATCAACTTAAGTTGATGTCCACCAAACTTCCTAGTTACTCATTTATTAATACTAATATGGTGCACGTGCGGTGCACGTGCGATGCACGTGTAAATACTTTCATGTTTATATGTAGCCCTATAGTTTTTATTGCATTGTTTATTTTTTTTCTACTTGACATATACATGAAAGATGTCATAGATAATATGTATTATTTATGATATAAATAGATGTTATAGGGTTATAAATAGCATCATAAAAAACACTAATTTGGCATATAAAAAACCAGTATATTGACCAAAAAGACTATAAATAAATGAAGTAACCGAAATTATTTAATTATATGTTCACTTAATGTAGCATAATCATATCTTATTTAAGTTTGATATAAATAGACAGAAAGGAGCTTAATTTTAGCAGGATTCATCAACTTCAAAAGATGCATCTTGGTCAAACTGTAGAGAGCCATGGGGAATCGGGCTGCAGCAAGTCAATTTGATCTATAATAGCTAGAGTCCATGACCTGCAAACAGAACTGAATCGAGCATGATCAGGCATCATAAACTTATGGAAGATCAAACCTAACTATAAATGTTACATAAATGGGGAAATTACCTTTGAGATCAAAGGTAGTCCGTTGCATTGTAAATAGTTAACAACTTTAATACACATCTTCGCTGCATATTAGAATATTGTGTAAGATAATAATTGTTTGAAAGTTAATTTGTACAAAATGTGCATCATAGAATGAAAAAAATAATGAGTCATGATTTTGATGAGGTGATTTACCTTTGAGGCAATAATACTTCTGGATACACAATATTTTTTGCGTATGTTTTTGTTGTTCTTCTTGTTTGGTCAACTTTCACTAATACCTTAGTTGTTCTCATTGATATCCCCCTTGATAATGCAACATATAATTGACCATGTGAGAATACATGGTGTGGCAAATAAACTCCAACATAAGGTATTGTTTGTCCCTGCGCTTTGCTTATTGTCATTGCAAAACATAGTCGGATTGGAAATTGTTTTCTACGAAATTGGAATGGATAACCCTCATTTTCAGCTGGAGATAATAGTATTCTCGGAATCATGATAGATGATTAATTAAATTAAATTTCATTATTACTAAATTTAACATACCTTAGACAATTGAGGCGAAGTATTGATAACATCAGTCAGCTTGACCCTATTTGCTTGAGTAATCCTTTTTGTTGGTGTCAACAATACACTTTTACTGCTTTCACTGTTTGAATTTCTAAGCCTAAAATTTATGAGAAGTAAGAGTTAAAAAAGTTTAATGACAGAATTTACATTATATTACTGTTTATATATTTTTAAGAAATAAATGACCCAAATAATCAATGTCAATGGCCAAAAAATAACAATGGCCAAAAAAATATTAAAAAAACTTGAGAAAATTTGATTTAATATTTTTGTATATGTCGGACTCGCCAACAAAAACCATACATAGGACGTGCAACTACACCATATTGATTATTTATTGGCAATTGATCTATTCACTGATCATGAATTTTTTTTTTCCAACTTACCAGTCTATCATTTCTCTACATTGTGGAATTTCAGGATTCACGAGCACCAGAGTTGATGATTTTGTAGATAATTGAAACTCGCCTAAAAATAAAACAAACTTGAAATTAAAAGATTTTCACATCATTTTAAAACCATGCTTGTCGTTATTTTTTTTACCTAAATAACGTCTACCAATTACGCTTAGCAATGCAACAACGGGTTTCGCATCTTTCAAATTCTCCAAAGACGATCCTTCAATCTCCGCTAAATCACCCCATAGTGTCACCGAAATTTGATCAAATCTAAAATATTTAAAAAACATTAGTTTTCTTACCAATAATCAGTACATAATAATAAACAATAATATTAAATTCTTACTCTTTATTCATAATTATGACCTCCCTTCTTTTGGATTTGGGATTGGTAAAAATTGGTTTCACAGTTGTTACGAATCCAACAACATCTGCAATGGAGAAATTTTAGTGATTATTAATATGAATTATTTTTCGCATAATATTTTTAAAAAAACTTACAAAAAGGCATTATTCCATCATCAAAAGCAGAAGCATCTTTAAATGAAAGGAATGTTGGTTTCAACTTTTCCAATGATACAATTTTTTTTGTTTCTCGAATGATTGTCTTTGTTGTGAGTGCCAACTCCTTTTCTGGATTAATTGTTGGATATTTCAAATTTGGAGGCTTTACTTCTCCATTGGTTATAGTATACGTCTCTCCCTTTATCAATAAACCGCTAAACTTTTCTATCAGCTTATTAAATAAAATTGCTTGGATAAGTGTTCCCTGCAAAATACACAATGTAGAATAAATTACGTAATCATGGTAATATGATAATTAAATGAAATAATAACAATGTGAAATTCGTATCACCTCTTCATCAATTAGAATTAGCTTTTGTTTATTCTCTTCTCCATTCTTAAAGGAGTCTATAGTATTACGTAAGACACAAACATTTATACTCTATTGTTTTTGATAAATTTTTAACTCTCGGATCGCGATGTTGGCTTGATCATTAGTTCCATCTTGATCAGATAACATGCTTCACGAAAAAATATATAATTTATAGAGATAATTCAGAGTTTATACCTTACAAAAAAACATGATTTTACTAACCTTTTTGAATCACATAGTGTTGCTTCCATCTCTATTTTTTTGGTAGGATTTGATAAGATGGAAGTTGAGTATGGAATATATTTATATGAGATAGAAGGGACAAAAGTGTAAATAACATTTATTACATAGTTATGAGAGAAAAAACAATTGTAACTGATGACATTAATTCAGCAAGCAACGTAAGCATTCACGTGCAGCTAAGCATTCACGTATGACATCAATTGTAACAAACGTTGATGTAATTTTTAAAGTACTATTAAACTTTCTTGTAAATTCGTTGATGTAAATTAACATACAATTTATGCTATCCCATATTCATTAATGTGATTCACATTAAGTATGTAACGTGGACAATTGATGTTCGAGATTCCTTTTAGAATTACTGTCATCATGATTAAAGAAAATTTTCAAGGAAGGCAAATAGTTTACTCTTTTTGTAACTAATGACATAATGCATGTATGAATTAAAAGGTCATTAAGTGTTAGCAAGCGTTATGGTTTATGCATGTATCTATATGTTTTATTATGCATGTGTTATGTTATGTTTTGTATGTATGCGTTTTAACATAAATTTGTATGTTTTATGTATGTGTTATGTTATGTATGTATATGGTTTAGCATAAATTTGAGGGCACTTTGGGAATAAATGTTTTAACATACCAACACACTTTTATAATAGAATTATATATATGTTTTATTATGTATGTGTTATGTTATGTTTTGTATGTATACGTTTTAACATAAATTTCAGCAGGTTTCTTTTTTATTTTCTTCACCGGCCCAACATGCTCTCCCTTATAAATATGAGTGTGCTCTCTAGGGTTTTGTGCGTGGGAACAAAACGAGTGGGGAAAAAGCTACGGGAACAGCGGCTTTGGAGAAAAGATTGCGGAAAAGAAAAAACGCAGAGGTGAGGTTTTTAGCCGGCTGTTAAGGATAAAAATAGAGAATTAAAGAGAGAGATTTTGAGGAGAGAAAAAGAGGGATTTACAAAAGAGAGGTTAATTTCTTTTGGATAAAAATTAGATCTTTTTCTTTGAGACGAGCTTGTGGATTGTACAAATCGTCGGTGTTCTTCTCATAGTGGAATCTCCCCTCACCCCTCCCGTGGACGTAGGCAAGTTTACCGAACCACGTAAATCTCGTGTGTTTATTGTTTTCTGGTTGTTGGCTATTGCTTGTAGGTTCCCTCAATATTCGGTCTTAGAGCTGATGAGAGGAAGAGTGTATATTTCACTTTGATGAAATATATCACTTTCAATTCTTGTTTCCTTTGAGAAATAAGAATTTTATTATCTATTCTCGTTTCCTTTGAGAAACAAGAATATAGAGGTTGACTTGTGCTTTTGTGACAACAAAAGCCAGGGCATTCTCTCAGGTGATATCGCTTCCGCGGCGGTGGGCGTGACTCTGCGCCCAACAATTAGTATCAGAACTGTTAATCAGATTAGGAGTGGTGTAGCTTCTGGTTTGAGGTGGTGCTCGACAATTTCCTGAGAGAAGCGGATTTATTAATACAAGCGGAGAATGGCGTCAACTAGCAAAACAGTTAAAGTTGGAAAGTACGAGATTGAAAAATTCAATGGGAAGAATGATTTTTCCTATTGGAGGATGCAGATGAAGAACACGTTGATTTCGCAGAAATTGCACAAAGCTTTGGCACGAAAAGAGAAGAAGCACAAGGATATGTCTGATGAGGATTGGGAGGAGCTGGATCTGGAAGCACGGGCGTCGATTATCCTTTGCCTTGAAAGGGATGTAGCTTTCTTGGTAGATGGAGAGGAAACGGCTGCGGGCGTGTGATCGAAGTTAGAAACCACCTTCATGACGAAGAGTCTAATGAACCAGATCTATTTAAAATCCAAATTATATACTTGCAAGATGGAGGATGGCTCATCAATCCGGGAACACATCAACAAGTTTGATAGGATAATATCGGATTTAAAGGACATCGATGTGACTATAGAAGATGAGGATCAGGCGCTTCTACTACTTCTATCTCTACCGAAGTCTTATGAGAACCTGGTGCAAACACTGATGCTTGTGGGAGACAATTTGACGATGGATGAGACTAGAACGGCGCTTCTAGCAGATGACCTTCGAAAGATTGCAACCAGTGACATGACTACTGGTGGTAACAAAGAACAAGCGCAGGGATTGTTTGCTAGAGGAAGGAGCAATGAGCGAGGAAAAGGCAAGGGAGGAAAGTCTAGATCTAAATCGAGACCCCTTGCGGGGCATTTCAAGGTTGACTGTCCTAACAAGAGAGTAGGTGGGAAAAAGAATAACAACAAGACCGAGAGAAGAGAAGGTAAGGAAGAGGCGAGTTACGCATCGGAGGAAGGGAGCGAGAAAGAATGCTTTGTTGTTACGGGTAGCGAGGATACCTCCGGGAAGTGGATTCTTGATTCTGGTTGCTCTTACCATATGTGTCCAAATAGGAAGTGGTTTACTACCTACAGGAGCATTGATGGTGGAACCGTATTGATGGGGAACAACCATGCTTATAAAACGGTGGGGCTAGGTGATATCAAAATCAAGATGCATGATGGAGTGGTTCAAACTCTAACGGACGTGCGGCACGTTCCCGACTTGCGAAAGAATCTTATCTCAGTGGATGCATTGGACTCCGGTGGCTGCAAGATTGTTACAGAGAATGGAGTGAAGAAGGTTGTTCGAGGTTCCCTAACAGTGATGAAGGGTGTTCATCACGGTAATCTATATACTCTCTCGGGTACGACTGTGATAGGAGATGCAGCGGTTAGAACTGAAGGAAGTGGTGGAGACCCATGTGAGCACACACGGTTATGGCATAGGCGGCTTGGGCACATGTCAGAGAAGGGTCTAGTTCTGCTTGGTAAGGAGGGTTTGCTGAAGAATCTGAAGAAACCTTGCATGGATTTTTGTGAGGATTGTGTGTATGGAAAGGCGCACAGGGTCCAATTCTTGAAAAGCAATCACAAGAGCAGAGGTATACTAGATTATGTGCACACGGATGTTTGGGGTCCGGCTCAGACAACTTCCAAGGGTGGTTCCAGGTATTTTGTCTCGTTCATAGACGATTATTCTAGGTATGCTTGGATTTATTTTCTTAAGCATAAGAATGAGGTATTCGAGACATTCAAGAAGTGGAAAGCAATGGTTGAGAACAGGACAGGCAAGAAATTGAAGACACTGAGATCTGACAACGATACAGAGTATACAGATGGTGCTTTCAAGAAGTTCTGTGATCAAGAGGGCATTGTTTGACACTGGACAGTCAGGTCACCACCACAGCAGAACGAGATCACTGAGAGACTGAACCGAACATTGCGGGAGAAGACAATGAGTATGCGATCTTATGCTGGATTGGGCAACGAATGGTGGGCAGAAGCGGTGGCTACAACATGTTACATTGTGAATCGTTCTCCACATTCGACATTGGATGGTGATACACCCTATAGGGTGTGGTCAGGGGAACATACGGATTATGAGAGGCTCAGAATTTTCGGATGTACCGCCTATTATCACGTCAACGAGGGAAAGCTTGACGCGAGGGCCAAGAAGGCGATATTCTTAGGGTATGCAAAGGGCGTAAAAGGCTACCGCCTTTGGTGTAAAGAAGATTTGAAGTTCGTGATCAGCAGAGACGTTACCTTTGATGAAAAATCCATGATTGCTAGGGCGCCCAAGGATGATGGTGTTGGGACTGTTGGGATTTCAAAGTCCCAGGTTATTGAGATAGAACCTGAAGACCAACCAGGTTCTAGTCATGTTCAAGTGGGAAATCAGGTAGATGATGAGCTTGAGCAGGAGGAGGTTCAGCATGAGAATACACAGGCACTATAACAACAGCAGCTCGAGGATACTTTGGCTTCCACTAGGCCAAAGCGAGCATACAAGCAGGTACAGAAGCTGGGGGCTGATCAACCCCTGAAGCACTATGGGCAAGTTAATTTGGTTGAATACGCACTCTCAGTGGAGGAAGATGAGCCGGTCTCCTTCATGGAAGCTATTCTGGATAAAGATAATGAGAGTTGGTTGGCTGCGATAGAGGAGGAGATGGAATCTCTTCGGAAGAATCAAACATGGGAGGTGGTCCCATTGCCCATAGGAAGAAAAGCTATTGGTTGTAAGTGGGTGTATAAGAGAAAGGAAGATCCTTCAGTGCTCGGTGGTACAAGGTACAAGGCGAGGCTAGTGGCTAAAGGGTTTGCACAAAGAGAGGATGTGGATTACAATGAGATCTTTTCTCCGGTGGTGAAACACACTTCTA